TGAAATAATAGTGTTTACCAGAGGAAGGGGTGGGAGAAGAAAGGAAGAAGAGGAGGGGACAGTGGGAAGCAGGAACAATGCAAAGCCTATTGATTGGTATCTCTGGGGAGGGGGTCTTTGTGGTCTGCAGCTCACAGCTGCTCAATAGAAAGTTCTGTGGAACTACTGGTCTCTGTTCTGCATATAGCCACATACTATTAGTCTCAGGCCATATCTGGGACCTCAGCCTGTCACTCACCAGTGTTCACCTTTATGAGGCTCAAGAGAAGAGAGCCCTCCCCTAGACTCTGTAAACCCCAGGACAATCTTAGACCAGTCAGGCTCTTTGAGCTTCGGGTCAAGAATAAGAAAGGCCGAGGAAGCCCCAAATTACTGTAAGAACTGAAAGAAGCAAATGTGGCTTGATGATTAAGAACCAGGATCTGACTCAGCCAGACAGGGAATTGGTTCCCAGTTCTGCTCTCGGGTTTATAAGTTGAATAAGAAGGTAGAAGAAATGCTAACTTGGGGTCCTCGCTCTAGCCCAAGCTGCTATCAACTTACTGTAAGAATCTCATTCTTTACCCTTTTGAGCCTCAGTCTCCTTGAAAAGAAGACGCTGGACTGATCCCTGGAGAAAGCAATGACACCTGGAGCCACAGAGCAGTGAGGCCTCTGCCGGGAGGTGCCTCCCTCAGCTCTGTAGTGACCATTGGACGGCAGAGACCAGCCTTTTGTCCTTGAAACCTCAAAAGGGCAAATAAAAAAGACTTTAATTCAGATTTTTCCCAGCTCTCTGTCATGACACTCGACTCGCACTCTCCTCTGTCTCAAATCCCTTTGCCTACTTTGTCTGTTGAGTAAACTACTCATGCTTCAAGACTCATGTGCCATTTCTTCTGAGGGACAGCTTCTCTGACCTATCCTGCCTGGCGCTGAGATGACCATCTCTGTGCTGACACTTATGTTGTACGTACTCCTATAATAGGATTTATGAAATTGAAAGGATTTGCTTACATATCTGGCTCCTTCCTTTTGACTGCACACTCTAGGTAAGAAATCATATTTTGACCATCTTGGTTAATCTAGTAATAAGTATATCGCAGGTTCTCAAGAAAGAAAAAATGGACTGGATGGTAAAATGGTCTGGATGAAGAAGAGGATCATTCTCTCTTTAATGCAAAGCCATGTGGTCCACCACTATATTTATTTCTGTGCTGTAACAGCTTGGTCTTGTTCCCTAGACTGATAAATCAGGCTGCTAGGGCTCTTGACAGATTTTTCTCATTAAAGATGACATACAAGAGGCAGTGCTGGGAGAATTTTAACAGGCAGGGAAAGAAGTCTGGCCCCAGGGAATAGTGATTCGCACCTTCAGAGAACTTACCTCATAAGTAACCTGCTGGAGTTATTTCTAATCTGCTAGATATAGTCTCAAGTGTTACCCCTCACTAGCAGCCTTTCTTGGCTCCTCTCCCCAAGGCTAGGTAGTGCCTTGTGTTTCTACAGTGCTCGGAGCTCACATATATTACAGCACTCATCGTGTTGTACCGTACTTGTCTGTCCAGGCTCTGCTTTCCTTGGAGGGCGAGATTCCAGTCTTATTTATCTTGGCTTACCCAGAACTGGCAAATAGTAGTCAGCAAATATCTGCTGAATGATGAGAAAATAAACTGCCCACTTCCTCATCTCCCTGTGTGGTTCTTACACGTCTCTGGCCAGCCCCGAGCCTTTTCGTTGACTCTTAGAGAATTTCAAAATAGTCCCACTGCCAATGTCCACTCGCTCGAGGTGAAAAGCTATAACTATACACTCCAAGATTCACCATTGTGCCCATTGTGAAGAAGGACTCATTTATTCCAACTTATGTGGCTTTCTTCTTCAAAGCTAGGCTAGAAGCATGAAACAGAATCAGGAGCTGATGAGCATCCCAAGGTTGGAAGACGGGAGAGAGAGACACTTGGCTGGTATCTTAGTATGTCCATGGGAAAAAGGAAAGTTTGAAATTTTTCCCTGACCCATAGTCCTCCTGAGTTTTCTGGGATAGGATCCTTCTTTCTGGAGCCCTTACCTGGTGCAATGAGGGGGTGGGTAGCCACAGCGGGCACCATCCGGTTGAGCCCAGCCCGGCCCTCCAAGCTCCCTGGCACACTGCTGTTGCCATCTCCTTTCTTGAGAGGCTCCATCACACTGTCAGTTATGCCAGGCTTGGCACCTGCAGGGGAACCCTGAGCAGTGTTTCTGCCTTGTGATGGGGTAGGCAGAGGCTGGCTACCACCTGGTGTGGTTTTCAGGGCCAAGCTGGGCAGGACAGGCTGAGTGGGGGTAGGGCCCGAGGCTGCTGCAGCTGGTGTCTGCTGTGTTCGGAGGGTCAAGTTCTGTACCTGGAAAAGAGGGATCTATAGCAGTCCACAGAATGTGGGTAGAGGCAATGCCAACAACACAACTAAGATAAGGAAAGAGTTAGGGATGGATCTAGGAATGGCTGAACAGGATAGTGGGTTGTAAAGTCAGAGAGGAAGAAAGAGAGAATGAGTTAGGGGCTGAAAGAGAAACCAGGAGCATGTGGAGTTTCTAAAGGGGACAAGAAAGTGCTAGTGATTGGATCCATCAGCAGAAGAAATGGAATTCAGAGAAGGGAAGACTGCCCAGGCTTCGGGAGAGGCAGGCAGGTCAGGCTCTCTCTTCCTTCTGGTACCTCCCCTCTTCCCCCAAACTATTAGGATGGGATGCAAACCACTTAGAAAGAATTCCCAGATACAGCGGGGCATGGGGCTTCCCCAACTGGAAAAGGCCAGGGCAAAAGTGAAAGTTAATTGACAAGCAAGGTTGAGGCAAAGGATTATTATGTTCTCAGAATAAGGTTTATGAGGATTTGGGCCTGTTTACTCAACCTGGTCCCTGGTGCCCTCTGCTGGACACACAGAAGCTGTGCCAGACTTGCATTTGACCAAGTCTTGACAACCTTGCTAAGTGCTCTCCACGTGGTCCTCATTCTGTAGCTGGGGAGTGGGGAGACGGGAGTGGGAGGATGTTCCTCTCCCCAGGTGTCCATAGAATCTTTACAGCCACAGCAGTGTCTGTGTGCTCCCAGCAGAAGGTAGGGACCCAGGACTCATCTTTGCTCCCTCTTCCATGCCATTCCCTCTCATTCCTAGAGGTGCGAGCGTGTGTAACCAGAGCAGGATTTTCTACTTGAAAAGCAACAACAGCAGCAGAAGTTACACTGGGGAGAGTGTAAGATGCAACGGTAGTGATGACCACACATTCATTCATTCCTGGCTGTCGTGCTGGCCTCAGCATGCTGCTTTCTGACTCCTGACTTACGTTGCGGGAACAGAGTCAAGGGTGGCTGAGGCCTTCTCAGCTGGGAATGAAGGAGCAAGTCTGGGGGCATTGGGCTGTCCTGTCTCCCATCTGCTTTCCTAGAAGATCCCAGCCTTTCCACAGAGTCAAAGCTCCACCAGGGCTTGGGCCCATACCCAGTATCAGTACCCCTCTATGGGGGTGCCCACCCCCCTGCCCTCCCAGAAGCATGGAATCCTCACCTGGGCAGGGGTGGGGGGCCGGGCGGGGGAGCCAGTGCCGAGCTCAGGCTGCACAGTAGCGACGGTGGCCGTGGGCGTGAAGATGAGCTGAGGGGACAAAGGAACAGTGCCGCCTAGGCTCCTAGCTACCTGCACCAGGTTACCTGGCTGGGCCTGGAATCACAGGAAACGAGGCGCCTTTTACCTGCCCAATGTGGGCTCAGCCACAGGACAGAACAGTTTAGCCAGGGAGCAGATATGGGGAAATAGGGAGGCAAGGTAGGGGAGGAGTCTGAGGGGTTCGCCTGGAAATTTCAAGAGGCTTGTGGCATCCTGACTCAGCTGGGTAGCAAAGTGAGTGCTGGGGGAGAGCTGCTCTTGGGCTGCACCCAGGTGGGGTTTACTGCAAAGCCTCTGTGAAGAGCTCATCCTAGAGGGGACCTACATTCATAGGACACCCTGTAGCTGCTCTCTCCACAGCATCCTGGGCAGCAGGGACCCTGGGGTGAGACAGATGCCCTAGGACCATTTTCTAGGTCTAATCCACTCCTGTTGGGGTCAGAACAGGACTCAACTCCAAAAGGGATCATTTGGTCATTTTTAAGTCAACTTTAGATTCATGTGTGTGCATGCATGTATGTGTGTGTGCGTGTGTGTCTGCATGCGTGCGTGAGTGTGTAGAGACAACAGTGGCAGTAGGAACAGAGAGCCTAGAGTTGTACTTGTGTGTTTCCTTCCACGGGGTGCAGGCTACATGATGGCCTCTGCATGACACTTCCAACCTTGCGAGTCTAGCTCAGCATCCCTGTGGACATGCTGGAGTCTGACAGTGTGCTTTCCCCAGAACCCTGTGATGTACCTGCGCCTGCTCCTCTGTGCATGTGCACTCTGCTTTGGGGAGGGAGGCAGATAGACTTTGAGACTCCAGTTGGGGTAGTTGAGTAGGACGAGGGAGTGAGAACACTGAAGACAAAGGCAAGTGAGGGTGGTGTTGCAATGTGGCTGTCTGGTTCCCTAGAGAAGTGGAAGTCTACTCCATACTGTGTGTCTCAGAAGCAAGTCCCTGGGAATTGAGCTGCACCTTAAACGATGAACTCAGATTCAGAACAGAAGTGCCTGGAGCAAGACCAGAAAGCTCCTAGTGTCAACTTCTGGCCACAGGAGCAAAGGGAGGGGTTGTCTTCAGAATAGTGTGTCAAGGAGCTCAAGGGAGAAATCTTTAGAATGGGAGAAATGAGACTGGACTCACAGCGAGCTGAGCCCAGTGCAGAGCTAGATTTTATGCCTCCTGGGGAGCATGCTGCTAGTTAGAGTACATGGATGTTCATGCACTTGCTTATCTTACATGGCTGAGTAAGATACTGACCATTTGGGAATGGACTCCTGCATTTTCAACCCTAATTAATTTTAAGGAGTGGATTCTGATAAGATGACAATTTTGTTTTACTCTAGGAGGGGAAGGAAAGGAGGCATCAAGGGTAACTTTATTTCAGCTTGGAACCCCTCCTGTCCTTGAGTGAGTGAGTCTATACCAAAGCTCCCACTCAGCCTTCCAGGCCACCCCCATTCTTTATTCCACCCTTATCTCTCGCCAATTGTTCCCCAGTGCTTCTTCCACACCCTTCACTAATCCCCAAACCTTCTCTAATCTTCCAGCTCCCGACTTCTCTGCCTGTTCCCTACTGGCCCACCTGAGCCATGGCCCAGGTTGGGTACTCACCATCTGTGCCCTCAGATACATCTGTGCTTGGCTTGCAGTCAGGGCTGGAGAAGATGTGTTGCCTAGGAGCACAGCCTGCTGGGCGATGCCCGAGGCTGTTGCTGAGTTGACACTCTGAGCCCGGTTGATGAGCTGGGCTGCTGCTGGGGAGGCTGCCAGATTTATCTGATGAGAGAGACACAAGCAGTAGGAAATAGGAGGTTCTGCTGGTTAACTTTGTGCCCCACCCCCATCCATTTCTTTCTCTCCCTCTCTGTTCCTCAGTGGATTCAAAAACCTTCTTTAGGACCAGCTCTGGTCCTTGGGCCCTGGATCTTCTGTGCAGGGAGGATTTAATGGGCAGAGAACTAAGCTATGGACAGAGAGCCCTAACATTGGGAAGATGACAGGGAGTTATTAAAGTAAGGGTTACGAAAAGGCAAACCCTTTTTTTCTGGAAAGAGCAATAGAATCCAGCCATGATTCTACATGGTTAAGGATTCACCATAATTGGGTCTGGGAGCCTGCAAGCATTTTGGACAAGGAGGAAGGAGCTGGTCTCAGAGCTGCGGGCTCTACCTGTTGCTCCCCATCCTACTCACCGAGGATGACTGGGCTGGGGCCTGTGCGGACACACTGCTGCTTGAAGTGCCTCCTTGTCTGTTGGCCACCAGGCTTGCCTATAAAAGAACAGTTCTAATCACTAGTGTCCCAGGTCCCTCCAATGATGCTCCAGGCTCTCACCTTCCAAGGAAGTGCTACAGGGTGGTGGAAAGGAGTCAAACCTCCATTCTGTCCCATCCGTGTGACCTCAAGCAAGTGCCTCAGTTTCCTCTTTCATGAAGTAGGGATAATAACAGTGTCTATCTTGTAGAGTTGCTGAAAGGATGACACAAGGCCAAGCATGTACGTTTAAGTACTCAAACTGGCAGCTATGGTTGTTCCCAAGGTTTCCAGCTCTCTTCAGCCCTCGGCTCCACCCCACTCTGTCATATCCTGCTCTCTGGTCCCTGTGCAGACAGCTCTGCACGTAATGTCTGAGACGTCCAGCCTGCTGTCCTCCCCGTGGCCAGCTTCGCCTCGTCCTTCATGTGTCAGTGTCGATGTTACTCCAGCAGAGACGCCTTCCCTGGCCACCCAGTCTAAGTCATCCTTGTTATAAGTCACAGCACTCCACTCTTCTCCCTCACAGAGCTTATCACAACTAAGACATTTAGATATTTTGTTTCCTTGTCTATTTGGGTTTCCGTTTACTGGCTGTCTTCCCACTATAAGCTTCAAGAATTCAGGGTCCATGGTATTCTTGTTCAGTGTCTGACATGAACTTTGGCATACTGTAGGTGCATAAAAAATTTTGTTGAATGAATGAATGAATGATGAGTTTTTCTCAGCCACTAAGAATAGACAGGCAAACTGAATGGGCAATGGCCTTCTCGCGTGGACCCCTCCTTGACCCTCGGTCCCATCCCTGTGGTGTGGCGATGTGGTGAGGAAGGCCTGTCCCAGCCTTCTTTCCTTGGGCTGGGCGGGCTAAGAGTTCCAGCTGCTCCATTCGTGAGCTGTGTGACCTTGGGCAAGGTGCTTAACCTCCCAGAGCCTCTTTCCTCACCTGCCAAAGGCTGCCGAAGGCAATCATACCTACTTCACAGGGTTCTGTGAGGATCCAGTGAGAGGATGCATGGGGTGCACTTGTGCAAGGCCTGCTTCTTCCCCTCTTACTTTGCAATGACTACGGCTCTGGGTGGCACCAGTGGCGCTCCTGGAGTTCTTACCTGCTGCACAGCCGCCAGGCTCTGGAGCTGGGCGCTGCCGAGGTGCTGCTGCTGAAGTGCCGCCGTCTGCAGCATGAGGTGCTGCTGCTGTGCCGCGTACATCTGCTGCAGGTACTGGGCTGCCGTGCTGGGCTGCCTGTGCAGGGCCTGCTGGATCACCTGAGGGTGGGGAGAGGGCAAGAGCCAGTGCTATCGACGGGCCAAACAGCTCACCTGCTGCAGACCCACCGCTTCTGCAAAAATGCCTTTCAACCCCATCCCTCCTCAACTGCTCAGGAAAGGACACCAGGTCTGTGACCGCCACCACAACCCATGGCCACTCTCAGGGAGGTGGGGAAGCAACAGTGTGCAAAGCTGTATGCATTTCTGCCTTGTTTATTTTGCATCTCTTCAGCGCACATGCTCCTGTGTTCTTCCCTAGTACCGTCCGCCCCTGTGTCAGCTGTCCCTGTGGGGAAAGTCAAGGCAGCCCCAGCACTGCTCTGATCCACCCTCAGGGCTGTGGGGAGGCTCAGGGAGGCAGAAGTCTTTTAGCCTCCAGTGACACTGCGTCCCATGCCAGTAACACTCCCCTTCTCTACCATTCTTCAGCCTGAGATGAGGGTGACTGGAACACAGGGGAAGGTGATGACAGAGGGAACCAAAGTTCAACAAGGCAGAGAAGGAAAGGGGTGGGAAGAAAGAGACAATGCAGAGGGGGCCTAGCAACACATCGGCTTAGCAACACAACAGCCGTACTAACACTTACCCAAGGGCAACACCCTCCCGCTGGGGCCTCTGGGCAGACTTGGGCGGCTTCTCAGGGTCTGCCCCTAGCTGCCTGGAAAGTCCTAAAAGTCCCTTTGAAAAAGGCCCCCTTGCCCTTGCAGAGCAGGCCAATGCCGCAGGGATGATGCGTTTCTCTCTTATTCTTTCTCTCCCTCTCCTCATTGCTCCCTCTTTTGAGCCACCATCTCCTACGCCCTGGCCTCACTGCCATTTCCTCTTTCTTAATGGGACTGGCTTGGCCACACTCTCTAGGAAGCCACAATAGGCTCTTTGATCCCCTTCCACTCTTCAATCTCAAGCCTCACCCCCACCCTCAGGAACAAAGAAAAGTGAACGCCTTTCCCCAGCCTTGAGATCCTGTCTTCTTGTGAGCCCCGGAGAAATTTCTTCTCTTTCTTCTCCTTGGTCACCCTCCTGCCATCTCTTCCCAACTTTATGCCCTACGGGAGCCCCAGCCGGGCTTTGGCTACTTCTTGCCCTCAGCTCCCCTGAATCTCTGGCCACGGGGCTGCTCCCGACCCTGGGCCAGGGAGCCTCCAGTCTGGATCTCTCTGCTCAGTGTGGTTTCTAGGGCTGGTGGCTCTAGGATAAAACCGTTGGGCTCAGATTTGAGGTTCTGTGAAAACAGGCTGATTCACAGATACTGCATGGGCCCTGGGGTCTCTCCAGATACCCCCGCCCCATCCCAATGCTTTGACATCCTTCCTTCAATGTTCTTTTCCCTCTGAGGGTCCCGATTTTACATGAACTTGGTTCTTTTTATTCTTGTTCTCCCCAGAATCCTTTCTTCTTATTCCCTTCACCTAAGCCTCTCGATTTACTTAGACTCCTAAGAGAACCTCCCAGCAGTCCCAGAAGCAGAAGAGATACTGCAACTCTTCCTCCCCAGAGGATGTCAGTGAAGAATTAGCTTCGGCGTAGAACACAACCGTGGGTCATGTCATCTGCCAGAACAGAAGCCCCAAATCCTTTTCGCTTAAATTTGTGATGACAGGCAGAAGGACCATACATTCTAATGTCAGATGCTAGAAACTAGAGCTAAAATATTCATGTACAAAGTGGCCAGAGGCTGGGTGGGGGCTGTGGGTGGCATGGATGGGTGCAAAAAACAGGCTTTCATTTAAGTGTGAGGCAGAGTTAACTGGGAGAGGGGAGATTCCAGAGTATTCGATGGTGCCTTCTTTAACTAGATTTTTCAGGCCCCTTCACTGTCCGCTGTGGCTTCTCTTCTATTTCTTAATCTGGGCTTAGGGCCAAAGCAGGATGAGGTCACTTGTCTAGTACATCCAAGCAGTAATAGTAAAGTTACTTAGAGCAAATCCTTCTTGGCTGTGGTCTCCGTTTTCTGACTGTTTTATCCGGGAACCTCAAACAGATGTGGTAGCGATTAAGAATAAAAGTTTGGGGGGAGAATTAAGTTCAGCTTTTTTTTGTCTTTACCTGAATGACCTTGGACAAATGACTACCTTCTATGAGGCTCAGTTTTCTCAACTATAGAATTGTACCTAATAATAACCATTTTCACAGCTGGAGGAGAAGATGAATAGGGAAGATGATTTTACAGTGCTGGGCACATAGCAGATGGCAATACATGGTCACAGTTGCATTTTGGATTAGTGTGATCACCTGGAAGGCCTCAGGGATGACACTTTGCAAACTGCTGCTTTAGGAAAGAAGGATTGGTTTGGGGTTCTTTTTTGGTTCTCTGTCTTTAAGAAACATATTTGTTACAGGGCAATGGTCACTTAGATCATGGGTGTAGGTTGCAGCTGAGCTTCTCCCTTCCATTTTCTGTTTGTTATTTTTACTTGTCTCCTTACACTTTCACACACCTATCTTCCCAAAACAGTACTCTGGGATCTGATCACCAGGTAAAAAAGGAATTTTCCTGACCTGCTAAGTATTCCCATTTTCCCCCAAACTTCCTTGATTGGACCCATCTAGCATCCTCCTCGAATTATGCACAAACATATACCAACTAACGCTCTCCCTGTGCCCATTCTAGGTTCAATATGCAGGTTATTTTGCCAGACGGTGCTGACATGTCCTTCCGGCTAGCCCTAGAAATGACCGAGGATTGCAA